AAAATTACAGCACTTACAACATTACGCCAGTAACCACATCATACTGACGATTTTAAGTTTGAAGCTAATCGAAGAGTGAATGCACTCTGACCTGATTGGAAAATATGCTAGATGTCCTCAGCATGGCTCTTAATGTCAGTCTCAGATAGCTGTTTAGCTATAAGGATAAACACTGTGACTTCGCCAAAATAATTCTTATCCATAAAGGTGTTTAGCTACTTATCCCCTAAAAAGAGACTGCTTGTTCTCACAAAGTTGATTGCGTAGTGGCATCATATATATATATATATACTCAGTAGTGGACATAGGGCTGCACCGACTGGAGTATGGCCAGAGTGTAGGCAAGTTTTTCAGAAGCAGTGGCGGTATTCAGCCCTCTTCGTCGATCTATAGCTAATATCTACATGATTTATTTTGGTCCACTGTGGATGTGATGGTGGACGTCGGCAGGTTAGGTAATGTCCCTCCACATGTTTGAAATAAGTGCTGACGAGAAAGTGATGATGATGTGAACGCAGTTGTAGAAGACAATCAGTGTTGTTGATCCGTCATTATGGGACTCTACAGATGTACTTTTCTGACTGCTGATACTGCCTCACTGTCGAAATCACTTGTTAGAATGACTATTTGATCGTTTTGCCTTCAGCAGGAAACTGGACAGCTTTTGATAGAACTCATCCTGTACTTTGTCCGAACTGCAGTCAGTTGGAGAGTAAGAGGAGATTATGAGAAAATATCGATAGGTATCGCAGTCTACCTTTCTTTGGACAGATTTGTTCAGCTGCATAGTACACATACGACTATCTACTGAAGTCCAGTCAAGTAGGGCGTTTTCTGATCTAGCACTCATTGCTATTTCCACACCAGTAGTTCTTCGAGAACTAGCTGAAGAATCTCCTGACACCGTCAGGTGAATTACTCAGATTCACATTGAACAACTGAAGTGAATTACTACACTTGGGTGAGGTGCATATGTATATGACATTGGTGGCATCATGATATCCACTCCCTGAATGTGCTAGCAGATGTCGGAGTAGATAACTATCAGATTCCGAACACTTCTGCAACATCTCTCCTCATCTCTTCAACATCCTAGAAGAACTCCGGAGCTTCGTATTCAGAAACTGACTTTCCTGTCAGAATTAATTATCCCTCTGAATTCCTAAACTACTTACTGCACTTTGGTGGCCGTAATATACCATGTTTAAGAGGACTTTCGTCAATGCTGGAGAGGAAGTTAAACACCTCTTAAGCTCATTCGGATCTTCACAGTCTAAGCGCATTGTTACCCCTTATGTTAAAATATAAAAAGGAAAAACTAGATTGGCAAAACTGTTGATGGAGCGGCAGCTGAAAGAAGCGACTTTTATGAAAATTCAAACCTCTGCTGCCGACTATGAAATAGACCTGTTCAGAAGGACGTACACCTCACTTCTGCCGGTACCAGTTACTTTTGGTACTATTTCAAGTCCCGGAAATGCGGCAGACTTTCGTAAAAATGACATTTGAACGCTCTCAACCTGAGGTTGTTATCACGCAAACATTGAAGTACGACTGTCTCTTTGCTGCCACTTGTGCCTTGGGCACAGATTGCACTGCTGGGAGTAACAAGTGAGATTTTGAATTGTGCGATAGGGGAGGTTGGATGGAACATGGACAGATACATTTACCTCTGGCAGAGTAGGGAACGTGGATTTTATAGTCCGTCTTAGCTGACAGACGTTGTTCGAAACGTACTTACCCGTCTTCTGTTGGCCACTAATTAAGGAATTAGTTTAAGTGGACGAAATTCTGTTGGGTTTAAGGTACTCAGCCAAAGTCTTTCAGTTGTCTTGAAGTGCGTTAACTTGCGAAAATGCCCCTGCCGCCGCTCGGGGAATTGTGTCATAGGTCAGAATCGATTTGATGCGCATACAATGATCCTGCAACAGGAAGCGGCTCAGAACGCACTGCACGCAAAATATGTGAAGCTCACAATCGTCGCTAATATTAGGAATTGCCCTACTTCCATCCAGATGCTAGTCGCTATCGGTGAAGAGTGCGCAATGCGTCTGAATATTTAGAATGCTCGAGTTGATCAAAATTAGCGTATGACATTTTTTGGAGAGTAGAAGTTTATTATACTATACTTACAGTGTTTTAGAAACTGTCAGTAAAGCCATCAAGAATTTATTTTATTTTAGATTACAGCTTGATTCCACAGCGTATTTTTGTTACAAGTATGGAATTTTCAGCATGTGATATCGGTAGCCCAAATTTCGCAGGCCGACCATTGATATCACGTGTGCATCGGCAGGGGATCGAACCCCGGACCATGTGCTATTGTTAAAAGATAATTATCCGAAGCTCATGTCACCAGTAGGCACTCAATAACTAACTAAACTTCAGTGTGACTGATAATAAAACACAAGCTGGAAAGTCCAGGATTTACTAACTCACCAACAAAATGAAGTCAATGATACGGCAGTTTGATCATGGAGTTCACATTCGGCTAACAAACACATACTGAAAAGGTCTACAAATAAATGTAATTATGATATGCATCAGCACTTCTAATAATAATATTGTATTCCTTCGTTTTTGTAAACATTCATATTTTGAGACTCATTAAAATACAAACGGTGTTAATGATTGCTTCATAAGGGGATTCCGAAGGTGGTTTTTGTTATATCGCTTATTGATAGTAATAAGAATAATGGTGTTCAGGAGTATGAATGAAATTTCCTCCTGTCCACTGATCTATCACCCCATCACTGTATCTTCACATTCTACAAGCAATCTTTGTAAATACATTAGCTTATGCTGATAGATTTTGCACTTCCTGGTTTCCTAGTGGTAAGTGTCTGTGATGAGTGATTACTACATTTTATTTGATTATTACTTTAGTTGTTTTTATTATTACCAATTTTATTGCTGCTATCCCCATCACCTAAGCTGTCATCGAGAGCAACAATGCCACTGGTTCCACCAATACAAGTAAAACTCTCCGGACTAAGTGATGTCTCTGTTACTCTAAAAACATTATCTTTCTTGAGGCCATTCATTGAAATGAGCGACAATTTCCTGTTCAAACTTCCAGCGCAAACCCAGATTTTCCACACTGTCTTAATTCATACCAGATAGATCGGTACACATGAGAGAAAAAAGTGACATTTGAAAATATCAAATGTTGACTTGATTCTTGTCATTTGTCTTCGTGCTTATCTGATAGCTAATGTTTATCCTGTTCTTCACGAATGCATGTACACAGAAAATGCGTTGTGTGATTTAGTTTTGTCTGAGTGAATGAAGGCCATTTCTGACCTCGAACTGCCCTCTCGAAGAAAAGGTGCGATTTTTGAGGACAGGCTTTGTTCCCGTCCTTCCGTTAATATTTTACTTAATTCTAAGAGCTCGGTTTGTTCATAGACTGTGCATAGCTACCTAAGATCACTGTTGAGGTCACTTTGAGTTTTTGAAGTTATTATTGTCCAGGAGTATTGCAGAATTATTCCGGAATAATCGTCTGGCAAGAGTAAATAATAGACACCAGTGTCAAATGACCTTGAAACAGTCAGTCAGATTCTTCTAGTTATAAAAAAGTCTTTGATACATACACAATAAAAACGAATCATACAGAGTACACACCTCTAATATGCTGCGAAAGCTGGCCCCAAGTTTCTCATAGAAGTGGTTATATCATATGATATAATCTGATATGTATCGAACCAATGTATTTCCTATTTCTGCAGGTGTAACAGATACCGGTCAAATATACGCGATGTATTACTCAGGGAGAACTTTGATTTCGAGAAGAAAGTGTCTAAAATATCACCAATTACGTACGACTAACCAACTTATTCAGATCTTATCATCTCAATATATCGGAAACTTTCCTCAGACTACTGTGAGTACCTGTGCAGCACACCCATACCAGACTGTACTGTGTCAGTGTATAAGAATCAATTCTTCAATATAACGTCTCTATGACAATATTATTGAGTGTTTCCTTTCATGAGTTTTGTAAACGAGAGCCAAAACAAATCAAGCGATTGAATAAGATAGGGTTCACTTTTCACAAAGGCGAGTTTACTTATCGTACTTCTGACCTACCTAATGGCATTACTCATTCAAGTCCCTACTTAAATTCTGCTGCATGAACCATCCCTATGATGTCCAAACTAGTATGTTGTAGCTCAGCTACCTTCAGTAGGATCCGGTATTTAAGATTCTCGCAGATGCTACCAATATAATGCATAGAAATTCTTCTTAATACCTGGTATATATTCCATCAAAATTTATTTAAATGTTTTATTTAGTAGAGATGGTGAAGGATCCTTCTGAATGACACCTTTTACATCAAGGTTGAGTAATAACCACTATCAAACTCGCCTAGGCGAACTAAATCACGAAAACAAAGGAGACTGAACATAAGCCTAGAAAAACAGGCCCACAAAGAACAACCCAAGTACTACTGGCCTCTCAAACATGAAGGAGATTGTGCGAGGAGAAGATGAGGGAGTATGAGCGATCCTGGGGGCTAGCTAAACAGGACCGCAAGGGACAGAACAAAGTGGGATGGTGAAACACAATTTTGCATCGAAACCTAAGGGGATATTAATAATAAATTCCTGAATGCTAGATTGAAATGCACCATTCAAAGTTAACTGAGGTTGCGAAGACTGCCTTTGGTCTAAAACTATAATTCCCATCAACTTCTGAAATACCCTGTATTATTTCATACGATTTTTCAGATAGAATACTATGACAACTATACACATGTGATTAGATTGTTAGAAAAGTGTTGCGCAAGTACATATAAGCGATTGAGATTCAGGGTATTCCTATCGTTTCGTTGAAATTTTAAAAAGGAAGGTAATCGTTTTAGATTTATCGGTGATTACATCTTATTCTTTTCATCATGCAGTATAACAATTCTTCGTCATTTATCGCTGGCTACGCAAACATAGACTGAACTCGCATACACTGAGTTAGGCAGATTAATTTTACAAAATTAAATTACCAAGAAGTATATGTTTATTATTGATAAGTGTACCAAAACAAAAGTGATTCCACATTTTTTTATTACTATTATTACTGATAAAAGTGACAAAACAAAAGTAAAAGAGAAAGGAAAAATCACAGCACATAGAATAGCCCCCGAAGTTTCCCACCATACAAAATAATTGTAATGATGAACCATAATTTATTTATCCTCCTACAGGTATTGTCTCCTGATTGAACTCGTTTTAGGAACGACTAGATCGGATTACTAATCCTTGATGTTCAGCGCCGATTTCAGTTACCTGTACAAAAACAAATAGAGATTTGAAAAGCTAACTAGTACACTAAAAGAAGGAATTAACTTCACTGTATGTATGGAAATGGAAATATTTTAGAAATCAGTATAAGCATTTTTTCAAAGAAACAAAATAAAATATACGTTTGTTTAGGAATAGAAAATTGGCATGAACTTACTCCAGTAACACGACAAAGTTGACCTTTCATAGATGATACATAATAAGCTCCACTTAAAGGATCACGAACCGAATCCTTACCTCTATAAAAATGAAGAATTGAATAGCATAAATGCTTTGTTATAAATTAAAAGGGTTCAAGACAACATTGAAACCAATAATACTCAAAACAATGAATCTTGGAAAGTATCACACGATTGGATGACTTATACAACACAGGTGATACATATCCTTGATAGTCCACTTACATGAAACAAGTGAAAACTACAAAATGTTATCAAATAACCAAAATCTTAACAAGATTATTTTTTGAAGTTAGTTACTCACCTATAAATAGGAACATAAGTGGCAGCACAAATTTCGAAGGGATTTAAAGGATCATAACTGAGGGTATGAGAATCTTCATTTGGCGTTGCTACTTCACATGCTTGTAAAATTTTACGAGTCTGTTGAGCGACATCCATTGACGGAGCAAGGTCTAGCAGTCGTCTCGCCATAGCAGCAGCAGAACGGAAGTTTTTAAGTTTGTACAACAAATTTAAGGCTGTTCTTAAAGTTAAAATAAGATGAGGTGTTTCCAAACGGCAATGTGTGAAGTAACATGCTAATTCAGCGTTACGAATCTATAAAATATATTAGAAGGGTTACAATAAAAATAACTACATAGGAGTCATAAAAAAAAACAACTACTACAACAAAGACCAGACTACGTTTCCTGATCAATAATGGAGACGTGACTCATTAGTTGAATCACCCGATTTTTAGCCAATGGCTCCTAGGTTCAATTTCCGCCCTAGTTGAGTAGTAAAATCAGCCATTTTACACTGAGTTTAGCTGATAGCCTGGGAGACGAAAGACCTGTTTGTCATTTGACCAATAAAGCCGATGTCTACCTTATCCTGCATACCAATCACTTCTGATGACCTACTTGCATGTTGGTTGATTACAATATTTGAATATATTTGTCTTGAGATTTTGATGATACATTTCTTTAGTGAGACTGAATTTATACCTACAGCTTTAGCTTTCATGGAAGGCAACGATGGACCAGAATACTGATTTTGTGTTAAGTACACAAGATTTAGTTTAGTGGGTTACGAAGACTTGTCATGCTTAAAATGCATACGTATTTACAAGGTTTCACATGTCTATCCTTGACTATAATTAAAATAAAACTAATGTGAGGAAGAGTTAGGTAGTCCAGTTTCTATGCATATAAAAATAATTGAAGAAGTTCCATTGCAGTGAACAATATTGGCTGATGGAATCTGGTCAAACACAAACACCGAGGACTAGACCACATGAAAATGTACACGTTACAGTCATACAAGAGATTAATCATGATTCCGAATGGCTTAGCGGTAACATGTGTGACTACAACACTGAGTGACAGAGATTCCAATCACAGTCAGATAGGATATTCTTCCATTTGAGGTCGTAGATGCAACACGACCTGGGCTCTGAGCTTCTTTGTCTGTTGCATACAACCATGTTATTATTGTGTATTTCAAACTAACCTAAAACAACAGTTCAGTGCCGATCACACAACAACAGAAATTCAGTGAGAATAATTATTTACCTGATCAGGTAGCGTATCCTTGGACATAGATTTACGTGTCATTTCCATTGACAAACCTACAATATATTCCCTGCATATATTGATTAGGCTTTTTGCCTCAGCTTCTTCAGATGGCGAGTGAACTACTAGTAATGGCACTGATAATAAGATTGTTCTGAATCGATTGATTGCATCTTGAAATTTGCCTTTGGTTGTTAATTGATAAGCAGTTTGCAGACGTGTTATGAGCTCACTCAAATTAATTACAGGAGCTGGTGCTGCAGATGTTGGTGAAATCTTTTTCCTAATATTGAGCGCATAACAAATGAAAGAAAACATCAAGTAGATATATACTATTTGTATAGATAATATATAGGAAAATACAATTATAATACACATCCGTAGCCTGACAAATTTATATAATACAAATATGGAGTTTAAACACAGTTGAGGAATTTCAGACAACCTGTGAAGCACAGCCTTAGGCAAAGTTTTGTTGGCTTCGGAATTCACACATAGATTATTACCAGCCAGACACAATGCTGGTAAAGAGGAAAAGTTAGGCATGAGGCTAGCAACTCCATCCTGTAAAATAAACACTGCTACAGAAACTTCAAGCCACTAGCTTGAAGCCCTATGTTCCACTGGGCAACGTGAAGGAAAAAAATGTGTATTGGTAGACGACAGTGCTTTCTTTTTAACTGTGCAGTGTCGCAGAATATTTCCCATATTTACAGAAGTTTGATGACCAAATATTTATTTTACTCTTCTGTTTGTGTGAATCTTTATTCATGTCATACTGACATGTATAAATTAGTAGTTCTCATCTTGTAACAAGTGTTTGTTGTTGTGTGATTTTGACCGACGCACTCATATTGATAGTCGATGGGAAAAGTAACTGGTTACTAGAAAAGAACACGGTGAGCAGACAGAAATTAGGATTCCAAACATGGAACTCAAGGTATCTGACAGTGAGAACAAATTATACAGGAAATTCAACTAACAATGCTTACAAAAAAATCAATAATAAGTTAACAATAAAAAAAATTACCAGTTACGTTGAGGATATAAAAATTGAGAAGGTATTAACGGTAAGCCTAAACCCAATGAACGGGAAGCACTATACAAATTCATGAAAAGTGTTCTGTAAGGTTCAAAATTAACAACTCCAACCTGAAAATAATAGAGACAAACAAAAAGTGATTAAATCATTAAAACATTTTAGTTTAATAGTAAAAGCTACACTGAATTTCAGTTATTCAGAATAATTAAAACAAGCAAGTATAAATGAATGAAATGAGCATTTGGTTGCAAAACACTCTTCTATAAATAAAAAAACTGAGCGGTGTATCAAATTGACAGTTCACCATGTCAACACCAGAATGGGTTATACCATTCGTATACACAGCTGATTATTAATCCCTATCACAGTGATTCATACAGTGACGAATAGTTCCAAATGGATATTCAATCCACTTTACCAGAATTCCGAAAAGTACAAACAGTAGATTTAACAATGAAGAGAAACAGAAAAAAGAAACAAAAATAATATAAAAATGCAAGACGTAGAGTAGTAGAATAACTCATTTTATGAGTAAAGGGTGAATGTACATACGTAAATTAATTTAGTGAGTAACACTATACATTCAAACACCCGTTAAACTATAATCACCGTAAACTCATGTTAGTTTACAAAATTTGAACATTCATGCAATTGATTTTGAAGTAATAACGTGAAATGTAGCACCCTCAATTCAATGAAAACTTCACAGTCAGTATCATTAGCCATTGCAAAGCAGGTATAGTTGATTAGTAATTGAACCTTGTGTATCGTCTTGATCAGTCATATATTCTAGTCTCTAAGATGTTTTCATCACGGTTTCGATCTGAAACTATAGTGTTGAAATAGAAAATAAGCTACCTGAGAAAAATATTTTATGTTCAGGGTTGCAAGGCGAATTTATTGTCGTGGGTTTGGTGATGCTAACATTTTGTTTAGGCTAAATTACGTGTAAAGAGATTGGAATCATGGATCCAGTGACTGAAGATCGAATGTTACAATCAATGAGCCACATTTCTATTTGATATAGGAAAGTTGCTTTCAACATCATCACGGTGCTACATAAAAAGTTGACTGGTGACATATATTCGATACTCGCCAGCTATGATGGATATAAAAAGTAAGGCCTTGAATAGGGCAATATAAAAACAGTAGGAATCAGAGAAACATATTTACCTGGGCATTTAGAAGTCGCATAGCATTCACCCAATTGCCGGCCATTATTTGGTCAGCTGGTAAGTTAGAATTTTCACTCCATAGATGACTATTAGGTCGGCCAGGTGATGGAGCAACAAATGCATTTTCAGTCTTTGCTGCGGAAATTGCTCCAGTACCTTGAAGATCAGATGGTAATTCTAGGTCTGCATCACTAATATCCCAACCACCAGCATCTGCACTTTTATCCCCAATTCCAGAGAGATCTGTGGTATCACCAGCTTCCATAGCATCTTCAAATTCCCCTGGTTCTGATTAGAAGGAAATATAAATAGATCTATATTGAAACTAACCACTTTATCAGTGTAAGATATTATGCAATAGAAATGTGCAATATTATGAAGCGTAGAATGTAAATACATTTGTAAATGATCACCTTATTTATGTTTACAAAACTTGAGGCGACAACAATCCATTTCACACCGAGCAGTACAGGAAAATTAAATTATCTCGATATAAAGTCTTCCCACTAAAAAGCCATAGTTACTTTCCGTGGGATTTAAATTCCGAATAAATACTGTTTCATTTCGAACATGACGATGAAGTCCATTACCTCACTGATGAATAATTAAGTGGTAGTTTAAAGACACTGGAAGGCTTGGAGATTACTCCAGACGTAACTTGAAGCATCATCTTGGAATAAGTCAAAGGTTGGTGCTGATGAAGAAATATTTATTCAAAATTTCATGATTCATAATGGAATTCATCCTTCCAGTAAATAAACCGTTGGATTGAACACACTCACCAGTGAAACAACTTCTTCATAATATCAAGGAATGTCCGAGTGAGAAGCGTATCAGAGATTAGAATATGAATTTGGAAGATAAACTGTTCACAACCTGAATTCCTTCCAGCTGAAGGATGGATGAGTCGATGTCTACAAGTGAACAGTTCTGTGACTTAACAGCTGTCTAGTATCAAGCATTTTGTAAAGTTGTATACATTGTAAACTTTAAATTAAGAAGGATGATTTTTCGGTAACAAGGCTTAAGATGAAACAGAAAAACAAAATTACCGTCGAGCTCAAGATTTGCATCTCTTCCCCAGGCTCCCTCTGGGACATCCTCTGTATCTAAAAGCAAGCTGGCAGCGGCCACTGACGGTCCGATTGGTTTACTATCTTGTTCATCACCTTTCTCAGTGGATTTCAATGCAGCATTTCGACGCTGAGCAATAGCAGTTTCGAAGAAATCAAGCTGTACACTAAGGAGAGGCCAATCAGTTTCAGCATTCATGCCTTCTGCGACTTTATCCGCTCGGATGATCGGAGGTGGTGGGATAATAAGACTAGCATTTGGATCAATTTCCGGTAAAAACGATGCGTTTGTTTCAGATGGCATTGACTGTAAAGACAATGATGAAAGTTGCTCTTCTAACTCCTTAGCTTCTTGATTGAGACCATGAGTGGCTGCAGTCAGAAAAGCTAGTGGTTCTAAAATAGAGATACGTATTAGTTTGAAATGGACGACATTTAGTGTTATACATTAAGGAGAGAGGTCATAAGCAGTGCATATGGAAAACGTCTGGTTACTGTCAGAACTTGCCAAAGACAGAACATTTCAAAAATCAAATTTATCACTAAAAATCGTCACGTCAATAAACCAACGCTGGTTACATAGTAACACACTAGCAAACCAAGTGAGTTCCCCAGAATTCTATTAGCTGAAAGCTGCATGAGAGTTGAAAAGAACTAGTGTTTTGTACTACTATTCAAGTTACTTTGACAAATTAACATTCACTCAACTGAGTTTTCGTAAACAAAACACAGACATCCAGTTGCCAAGAGCAAAACACTGAGGCAGCCTTCTGGATTATGCATCCTTAAAATCACCTCCGTAGAAGTATAAAATATTTCTCAACATAGTTTGGAAATTCAGAAAGACATCTATCGAATGGATGATGTACAACAATCCTAGGATCACTGCATTGCAAGGATAAGCGCTAAACTTTTAATGTAAATAATCTGCACATATTAGCATTATTTTCCCATTGATTGTTTAGTTCTTTGATAATACATAATAATCCTACATGCCCGAACACCATTTCTTAGATATCTTTTCACTTGTAAACGCTGAATTCCAAATTATACCGAGCATATCTGAAGCTCTGGAAGGGAGAAATTCCCAATAATCGCAAAGTGATAATAAGATTACAAGGTTATCGCACTGAAAAAAATAAACGGATACAAACACAGAAACTAATATAATAATCTTGAACAAAAGTGCATCAGTTGCAGTAAAAACACATCGTAGAAGAGCAAAAAAAGATCCTGTTATGTTGTATTATTTCGGATAGGCGTGGACACCTGTAGCGCAGCTTTTCGAAGTATTCTGTTCCGGAAAACTGTATACACCTGTCTCCACGGACATCACACAGAATGTTAGATTGAGAGAATCTAACACTTTTAGATTAATGACTAACATACTTGCAATAGTTAAACATGATGATTTATTGCTGCTCGTATTACAAGCCAGTGGTCTTATGAAAACTGGGATTAATGATCAAGGAAAGCGATATATGGCTAATATTTAACAACTAGAATCCATTACAGTATTTTCTCTTAATAACAAACACAAATGACACACCTTAAAATGAACTCAATTTGCCCTACGAAATATATATAATATATATTATCCAAACGGAGAATAATCCGTCAATCGATCTCAATATATTCTTTTGAAAATAATAAATATATCACACTTCATTTGTGCAAAAATATAGTGTTTTACTACCTTGAAAGAATAACCTGACTTAAGAGAAAGCTACTCGCATAAATTGATTACCACCAGTGACTGAAAAATATTAAGGGCTGGGCTCATAAACTAGATTCAATAACGTTAACAGCATAGAACATTAGATATTATAACCTGTTTGATGCAGTGTTTTTGAGCGTAGGTGTGTGTGTGTAACGATCACGAATAGCCAAGCACTGAACAACAAGGACAATGACGTCAAGCAAACACGAATCACGTCATGAACTGACTGGTTTCAAAACAGAACTGTGCACCGATGTGCAGCAGTTCCAGTCGCCACACTCCATGTAGTACACAAAGCAACCACAATAAGTAAAAAGAAACACAAAACACAGACAGTAAACCGAGATATGAAGGAAAAACAATAGTAATATCAAAGAGCAATATACTTTTATTGGAAATTACAAGTCACAAGGAGTGGATTCATCTGTGCCAGCCATTGAGAACGTTTTTGAGCCATATCACCAATTGTCTCCAGCCATCGGTTCCTACCGTCTCGAGGACCTCAACCAGGAAGTCTACATCTCCCGACGTGGCCTAAACTAACTGTGGATTTCATTGACTGATGAGGCCTTGTTTTGGTTTGACCATCAATGGCTCTTTTCTGACCCGACCGTATGTAAGCTAACATCGCCCGTCGAGGAAGGCGATGACTAAGCATGCGTAACACATGTCCTAACCATCTCAATCGATGTAACTTCACAGCCTCGTCGACTGATTTCTCCCCTTACCTAGCACTCGATCAAAGTCTTATCTCAATATTGCTCACCCTATTATACCATTTCACATGGAAATGAACAATACTTTACCGTACACAGTAGTTTGAAACGAAATGAATATAAAAATTAAACTTTACTTACTCTGTCCACAGTTGCGCAGCAACTTCACACGTTCAGCTACATCACCCAAAAGCAATGCAATATGGTAGTGACTTGAGGTGTCCTTTCGAATTTCAGCTGAAGCAAAAGATTTTTAAAGTGTGACAGGCATTAATTAATTAGTCCACTAATTAACAAATAATAATACTTTTTTATCTACGGTTGAGTACTAGTAAAAACATCTTAAACTACTGGACTGATACTGGTAAACTGGTAATGAAATCAACTACTACACGTTACGAGTAATATCAGATTATTTGACGATCACACGTCACAAGCAAATAAAGAATGAGAAAAAAGTCGTATAAAAACGCTTGTGGCAGATGAATGTCATAAACAGAGATCAGATAATATGTAAATAATTTAACTGCTACGATACACTAAGAGGAACCTTCGTGTCCTTGATCTGAAACTCAGAGTTCATCTTAAGGGGCAGTTTTAAATTTAGCACACCTACACCAATGCTTTGCATTTTTAAGACGGCCTAAAGGACATCAACACAGAAATCCAGGGAGCCTGCTGAAAGTATGCCCTAAGGTAGGAATATAAGTGGGAATGTTTTAGCACCACGTAGCCTAGAATCTACAGTCCCTGGTGTTCCCAGTAAAGTTTGACGAAACCACTCGGAACTTCATAAACATTTCAGTATTTTCATTCCTGAAAACAATGTGTTTCACTTATCTTTTCCCCGTCTCGATAATTATTACCTTTTTGTAACTACGTTAATTTTTGTAGTAATGTAAGGTGTAACAATTTAGGACCACACACGAATAAACCATAACCTAGTCTCGGAAACCCAAGATTACAAGAAAGGGAGTGCGTATAAATAAAGATGACTTACCTATCTTCATCATCTTTTTTAATTTATCCAAATTTCCCGATATTAAATACAAAAACGTGAGTTTATCAAAATTCTTAACACGCTGGTAGGTCATTTCAACCATCTGCAGTTTTCCTTGTTTCAATGCCAGTTCACCAAGTCTCTCCCAACAAGCTTTATCATCCAAAGCTTGAGCAGCTTCTAATCCAACATCTAACTGACCACAATCCATAGCCAATGAGAATCTAGTACGGGTATCTTTGACGAAATGTAATGCAACTTCAGGATAACCCTTCTTTTCTAAATATCCGATTATGGCTTGACCAACAAGGTTTGAATTACGAACCATATGTAGGACCTGTGGATATTTTTACGGACAAAATTAGTTGTGTAAAGTATATATTGTACACGGATGACTTAACAATATGCATGTCACAACATCTCAGAGTAATACGCTAGAAAAAAAAGAACGTTTGCACGTCAAGTTCTACCTACAACAATGACAATACACGGGCGAAATGTTCATACATTGATTCTCTGCATCATGTCTATAATAGTGCAACTCATCTACGTAAGCGCTACCAGAATGGTGTTAATAAATGCCTCATACAACACTCAAAATTTACTTTTTGTGCATTTAGTCGCATCATCGAGGTAGATTATAAACCCAAATAAAAACCAAATATATAAGTTTCGGAATATGATATACAAAATCTACAACATATCACCGATAACTCAAATTATATTTGTTGAGGTAAGGAGTTTTTATATAGTGATTAAAGATGGCATTTGGATGACAAACAAAGAAACAGACATTGATGGATAGTGAGTAACTTAATCGACTGATATATTTTCGCGGATCTTTAGTGTAGTTCTACGATTTTTTAAATCTAAGTTTACGGTATGAAGGCTACTCAAAGTACAAGGAATTTTTGTAGCATACATCAATATATAAATATGAAGAATGAAAATATTGTCTCAATGGACAAAAGCTGATACTGCACGAAAGATAATTTTCGTTTATGAAGGCAATCGCCATAAAGGGAAATTTTTATTATTTATAACTAACCTCTTCATATCTACGATTAACAAGTGCCAATTTGAAACGGAACTCTGTTGGATCTATAGTAAACACAAGTGGAGAGCAGTCACGATCCAAACAATATACTGAATTGCCGCGAATACGTGTAATGTAAACAGGTAATTCAAGCGTTCGAATAATCCCATAATCACTAATTGAAAACAATAGTTACAATAGAGTACGATTAGTTGTCTTAAAACATAAAAGTGGAAGATATAATTTAACATAATAATGATTTAATATGTTAAAAAAATTAATAGTAATAGTAAGACGACAGTGTGTTAATCAGTATAAGGTGACATCTGAAGAAATTTACGAGGACCATTTAACATATACTTCAGGTACCAAGGATATTAAAATAGACAAAAAGCCAGTGTAAAACCTGTGTGCACACAGCAGTCCTTATATTCTATTTTGCCCTATATGAAGTTAAATAGTTGTTTGTTATATTTTACATGATAGATGAGCAGGTGTGTGGGGACTAGGCTGTTAACTAAGGATGCGTCTTCGAATACTCTTTGCTGTAACTGCAATGTAGTAAAAAAAAGTTATGTAAACATTGATATACTTGAAACGTTTTGAAGTAAACAGTTGCCAATACAAAAGCGTTTAGTTGAATACGTGAATAAGTTCGATGATTGGTTTAGGCGGTAAACTCCAACCAATGAAACTTGCCTCCAAACCCTACTTTACCCTCTTAGTTTCCGACAGCAGTTACCAATTATGATTCATAACTTAACACAAAAAAGTCTACACAACATAAGTGGGTTGTACATCAGTGATATTCTGCGGCAAAACTGTAGTTAGACACCCAAGTTCCGACTCATGAGTAAGGGATTTGAATCGCGTTTGATAACAGTAATCAAATGGTTTAACGACAGAGGAGCTATGGCTAATAAGTGAATATGATTGCAGTTACTGAGCTGCAATAGGACTACAAAACGGACAACCACAAAGAATAACTATTGAGGTGTTTACATTCCAGCTTATCTTCAGGATATGAAAAATTCCTAATGTTTATAATTTCCCAATATATTCGTGTTGCTTTAGAGTGAAGGTCAGAATGCGCAAAAAATCAATAATTCGAAAGATGAATTATCCTGCGTAGGTATACTTACCCATTCAATAGACAGTATTTAATATGATTGCTTGTAGTGTAAATAAAAACTCCATGTTCCTCCCAAGCACCACTTTTAATTCTAACTGTTTCATGAATACTAGCCTTCACTTCTAGATGTCGATCGCATAAATAAAGATATAATTTAGTAAACATTCCAACGTATTGACCATCAGGGGACCAGATAACATGCCGAATGAACTAAAATTGAATTATACAAGCCAATGAAACAATGCAGAATACATACACCTAAGCATCATCGATGAGAATATCAACATAAAAACAAGTCATATGTTTTCGTATGGTTCGATAGCTGCGACAAATAAGATTAATGTATGTCTAACTAATATCACAGCAAAATGTTAAAAAAAATTGGAAATTTTTTGAGCTTAAGTAAGACAATTCATTTAAGTTTACTTGAGCATTTAGTTAGCATAGCGCTCAGAGGAACCTGTGAAATAATCACAAACTGAGGTGCGCTTGACAAGTTTGTAATAAGTTATCATAGTGGAAAACTAGCCTTTCAGGCGTTTAATGATATTTAGTAATTTCTATGAAAACACGTAAAAAACACGTAAACACGTTTTTCACCTCTGTAAAGAAGTTGAAGTACTTAGATTTAACCATAGGGTTATGATTAGAAACTGGTTGAACAGTAAGTATTCTCATAACAGATGCGAATACATACATGTGGTTGCACACAATGACTATATGTATGGCATACTTCATGAAAACAGGCGTCTTTGTTTCTATTTATTTCTATAATGCACTGTGTAACGTAGTTCCGATGACTATCTCAATATTTACTTATATTTACGTAAAACTTATGTTAAACAAATGAGCAAACTTGATACACTCACTTTAGTATGCTTCAGTGTGGCTAGAGTGCGTTTGTTGGCAACATCACATAAACTGATTCCATTTGAATCACGAATCAATAAATTACCAGTCCCGGCGTAGAAAAACTGATCAACACCAGAAAAAGACACCTTCTTGACATTTTCATTAGCAAGATTCTTGATGACTATCTGAAATGCAAAGTAGAAATCATTACAGCTAAAATATAGAATATCCTGAAGAGATCAGATAAACATTTAAGAAAATTTTTTTCCGACAAAATACTTGTGAATGCTATTAACTTTTAGGAAAATCTGAGATTGAAAACACTGAAGTGGCCAAATGGCAATATACGTTGAGTTATTGAAAATTAACAAGGTTCGAACTTTTAACACTGACGTTAGATCAGCGTTTCTACAATATGGCTTAGGGATTTAGCGGACACGTCACCAAAGTATTTCCAACAGGCTGCAGACTTTCATCAAGAGCTGTCTTCGCACCATACCGAAGACCACATGGTCAAAAAGGATCACCAACAAATTCTCCCGAAGCACCAACAAAGAACCTGTCGCTCAACAAATATGCCGAAGAGAATGGAGATAGATTGAGCACAAGCTGAGAAGTCTGTTGAGACATAACGAGCCGGGCCTTCAAACGGAATCTGAATGCGGCATTAGTTGGGTGTCCAAGGGTAACACAGAGGAGGGTGTATGGAGAGGAGATGAAGGCTTATGAGAAACCGTGAAACTACCTGAAGACAACTGTGGAAGAACGGATGGAATGGAGATGGGCTGTTGAAGTCCTATGTTTCACTCAGAACTCAAGGGAATTTTAATAAATAATAATGATTAAAAATTGGGTTGTGGTGACAATTTTTGTTAAAAAAAAACACAGTTACTTAAACCGTACAACCTGAGTAATTTATTAATAATAATTGAAAAATATTGAATGAGTAAATTAGTCATAATCAAGCAGTCTTTAATTAAACAGAAATTTAAATAGTATTTTTTATTTTTTTTATTTTTGATTTACAGCTTGATTCCACACTGTATTTTCGGTACAAGTATGGAATTTTCAGCATCGATATCGGTAGCCCAAATTTTGCAGGCTGATCATAGATATCAGGTGTGCGTCGGTGCGGGCTCGAACCCCGGACTATGTGCATGGTCGGCGAGAGTCCTAACCACTGTGCCACCGACGCACAAACCAGTGCCCCGAGAGAAACCCGTTTATTCCAAAAGGCTTTCTCTATAAAAGTTGTGATTTATAGTCCTATAGTCTTCAGCTACGGTTCAGCAAAAATATCATTTTACAATTTTTTAGCTGAATTTTCTTTCTCAACACTAGGAAACATGTACTGCTCTACCCTTGCCGTTAAAAAGCCTAGAAATGCAGCTGAAAGATGGAACTATTATTTAAACTTTCGAAATGCGCATAAAGTATGTTTACGCTATTTCACCGACTTTATACGGAACGTGTTTCTATCATGTTCATTCGATGATAAGAAAAATGCTTGACTTTGTTTTACGCTAACTGACGGAACTTGCATTTATTTTCATCTCAATTTACCGTAACACCAAGATTCAATCAAGAGCTGTCAATGCAGATTGCAAATTTTAGTGAATTGACACAGGTCAATGAGGTTTCCGACTAAGGAGTTTAATCTCTTAGCTTAATGAGTCTAGATTTTTTGTTATCTTGCCGTGTTTATTACAGCAGGCCCTGAAACATACACAGTAAACAAGATGATATCCAATAGACAAACACATTTAATGACAACATTATGCGACCTATATAAAACCTTTTGATCTAATCTGTGGATCATTATCAGCATTGGGACCCATATATAACGAAATCAGGTGGTCTGAGATATTAATAAACATGGTATAAATATGAGGCTGGGAATGATCGTAACGGAGAACGATAAGAAATGAAGATACTTGAAATCTGCACTTTTCTGTTTACACATGAAACGTTTGCCTTAGCAGTGATACTACTGGTGTTATTGATTTTTATTCTTCGATACATTTCGCAATATGTTATCAAAAATAAGGATTACACTAACCAAAATCTTTCTTATGAGTTCCAGATATTGCAAAGTATTCGTAACTAAGAAATAACATGACATTGTTTTCAACGAATGGAAATTAAAGTTACTTACTGATCCTGAACTTTCTAGCACTGCGAATCTATTTCGACCAATCCAAGCAACTGCAATGGCAGTACCTGATCGACTTTCAACGTGTTCAGGTTGTGTACTAGTGTTATCTATTGTTTTAGGCAATATGTAGAGGTCATAAACCATGCTAGTACCACTGGTTATGGACAAATTCGACGACGGTCCCATTTCACTCTGACGTGGACGACTAAGAATTAAAATAGCATTTTCGATTGGATTGTAACCAGCACTAACAGCCAGACCACGACCTCTGTTAGAAAGTGTTAAAGAACGTATGAACATAGATTTTAACTTAAAAGAATTATGAAACTGTGCTGTAAATCAGTATTAGTTTCAAGTGGTAAAAGTCATGCAGATTACCTACACGACAGTTATTCAAACAACAAATACTTGAGTCAACGTCATTACGATTACCGATAATCAATGATAATGAAGAGACATTTTAAATAACAAGGCAATTCAACTATCACTTGTCATTCAGCAAATTGGACCATGACTCACGCTTGACGTATATAAACTATATGACACACATCAATTGTCTAAACCAAAGTAGGTGGAGAGGGATGCAAACTCAACCAACGAAGTAGCAATTAGGAATACAAGAGTACATACTGACAATTAATTACAGTGAAGTTCGAAATTAGTAAATTTGTTGCCGAATTCTAAAATATCGCATTTTTCCAAAGTAGATAATTTATATTTTTTTATATTTTTGACAACTCGATTGAGTTTGTTGTAAACTACAGGTTATTCAAAGCTTTGGAAAACTAAGTATTTTGATTGGTGGTGATCAGCAGTGGAATCCAGGATTTGGGATTCACCTGAATATGCCTGAATACTCAATGAGTGGTATCAGTGATCTCGTTGAGACTTAAAACCCTAAACCCATCGTTTTAAACGCCAAAGGATTGTCTACTAGGTCATGAAGGCCACTTCACGCGCATCCTGGAACACAAATATCAAGGTAAACTTCAGGAAATTTTAAAATGTTATTAAGGCTGAATTTGGATAACTTCCTAGCATCACGTAGAGAGAAAATTGAACTATTGGTGCAATTATCAACAATCGATTTATTCAATACGTCATTCATAAAATAATGTCAGGTTTTTTATGTTCACTTGTCAAATAATTTACGATGAATTATTCAGAACGTGAAAATGCCCATTAGTGAAGAAAACTTGCAATGGAGAACATCTGAGACATCTATCCTCTGAATAGAATAACTTCACCACAAATGTCCTAGTAAAGTCCTGCACGGGAACATGGAAATAAGATTAAAAAGAGTTGCGTGGATTTCTTTTTCGGACTAGCTTTAGTATCCAAATTTCCAACATAAGCACAGAATTCTGATGAAAACACCGGAATAAAATGATTACTGACTAGATAGGTATGCATGTTTAACTTACTCTCTAAGTTGAAGGACTGGAACATCTTTGGTAGCAGTAAAGTCTACTCTTCTAAGGTATGGGAGTTTCACATAAAACATGTGATCTTTGTACACTGTGAATGCGGGTCTTTCACGCTCCAGTTTGAAAACTACAAACCCTGTATCATGGCCAGCAGCAAACACATTTAGTTTAGGATGTGCATTTAAAACCCAAAATCTGTCAGAATCACGACGAATGGTAGAAACGCAGGTTCGCTTGGCTAAATCCCATATTCTGATGGCTTTGTCCTCAGAATCAGAAAGCAGTAAATCCTGTCTAGGATGAAAGACGACGCAGCTGACATTATTGTAATGACCTCGAAGAGTATCCAATTCCCAAGCTTTTGACTCTGACAAAATAAAACAGGTATTTATAAACTGAGAATACTGAAATAGGCATAATTAACTGATAGAAAACTGAACACTAATTTATCGCCTGTCATCAAAAAAAATAAAGTATGATAAATAGAAAATCAGGATGAACAACACAAAGCCGGATGTAATAGCATGATAGTAGCTTACCAGTCATTCTCCATATTTTTATTAGACGATCATCTGCTGCAGACACAACTATAGGTAAGGTTGGATGGAAAGCAACCCAATTTACACCACGATCATGACCTTCAAGAACGTGCCGAACAATGACTTCTGTCGTCCCAAATAGCTCGGTGTGGCTCGGACCAAACAAATTAGGGCCAGAACCCCCAGGACCAGACGGTCCCGTAAATTGTCTGGCATGATCCTAATTAAAAGTAACATTGGGAAGTACAAATGAACAAAAACGGAGGAAGTCATCCAAATGGAAATCTAAAAGGTAACCAAAAACTGAGAAAATTAATATTATTATAAAGTCGTAAAACCGATTTTAGATTGCTACATCTGTGAAACAGGTTTGCAAATGGTCGGAAACGATCCCAGATAACATACTTCACACTAAGTATCATTACAAAATAGGACACTTGCACATCTGATAATATATCCTAATCGAAAATAGGATAAATTGCCTACTGCGTGGACCATGACTTTTCATGAAAGGGTGAAAAGAACAGATAACTGTATAATATTCAAAATACTTATAAAAAGAGCATACACAAACATCAAGTCTAGCATGTAATGACACATTTACAAATTACCTCTAAATTCGATAGTGAAGAAGGAGCCACACTTTTCTTTCTTAACCCTGACATATCCCAAACACGCACAGTTTGGTCTAGAGACGCCGACACAATAAGGTCCTCTTTTGGATGGAACTGAGCACACATAACATAGTGGCTGTGTCCCGTTAAGATGGATACCACAGTTCGCGACTGCCAATTCCAAATACGAATAGTTTGATCATCTGAAGCGCTCAAGATCCACGGGTATTCCTAGTTGATAAAATTGTTAAAAATAATGTAATATCAATTGCAAACAAAAGTATGCAAAACAATCAAGCATTCTCACTCTTCACACGTTGCATGACTACTAGAAGTCTCACTTGGCAATTATAACTCCGTGGTCTAGCCACTCATGAACTTTCCCATTAAGCATGAGGAACTAAAAGTACCTATTTTCCTGTCCTACGATCTTACACAAAGTAAACTGCTTACGTTTCATCAATCAGCTTACTCAACAGATTAGAGACGACTCATGATACCTGAGACAGTGCATACACAATCAAAGCGTCTTATCATAACGAATGAATAACATAAAAACTACTTGTGTTTGTGCACATTAAGAGACTGATTTGTAGCACTTACACTTCAGTTACACTAACCGATCTGGTTACTCATAGCACTAAAGCATCCAAACAACTTTCCTCAATTTCTTAGTCTCCAATTAGATAACCTGCTATAAGATAGTATTTCATCGTACAATAATATACAGGTTACCAAAGCTATACGTAAGTATACTGTGGGTGGCGAACCACCTATTTGCAAAGCACTTACAACAATAGCAGGACACTGTGCCAGCACCAGTGAAGCATTAAAATTTGCCCAGTATCTAGGTAGTTTTGTGAGTGTTACTAAAGTGGAATAGCATAAGTTAATCTGGATTACCCTGCTATCAAAGGTAAGGTTCGCTTCGGTGAATGTAATCTTGATTTACGCCTGTGGTACGCGTCCGGTTTGAAATGGTGTGCAACTGTGTTTGGTTATCGCTGTCTCAACAGAAAGGCTTGCTCGATGGCGAGACAGTTTCATTAATTCTGGTAACCTGCAAGACAGAGATAACCTTTCAGTAGGTTATCTTAATCTAAAATACTGGCTTTGGTGACTTGGAGATCTGCTTAGAATGTCATCCCAGTGGTTCCAATTCAGTTTACAGTTCGCCAGTCGACTGGTTGAAGGTGGTCAGTCAATGACTTGAGGCTCTGGGATGAAAGATAGTTAACCCAAGTCAGGATCTGTGAATGCACAACTGTGGAGTGTGACAGAACGTGAATGTGACGCTATCTGATATGGCTCGAAACCAAGATCAAAAGTAAAGGACACTTCATTGGGTGGAATTGACATACATATATCCGAAATTTTCTATTCAGTTTTTCCTCAAACGTCTATACATGAAATGGTTACTGTTGGGAAGTGGGGAGATGTAACTCAACAGCAGATGTAATATTGCTCATTAGATCACACTTCAAGTCCTATGAAAACTTTATTTTAGGTAAAGAAATAATTTAATAACCTCTCTAGACAATCATTCTCATTTTATTTTATGAACAATCGTTCGAGTCATAATGAAATAGGTAGCCATCTGACAGCGATTTTTTTCAGTGACCAGATCCCTTAGCATTTGGATACTTCCAAGTAGAAATGTTACTACAGTGCAAATTCCGAAAAATTTGAGTCTTTAATTCATCATAAATTTACCATGTGGTATATCATAAGTATTTCTCGCAAACATTGACATCTATGAGATGAAAAAGCAAGTTTCTAATCACGTAAAAGCAACTCGGTAAATATGGCTGCCAGTCTTTGCCTTATTGGGAAATTAAAATGATAACATTTAATGGTTTCAACCTTTTTGTAACATGCTCACAAACGCGACGTATGCGAACAGTAAGGTCATCGAGATTCTTAGGTGTTAACTCGACTGGGTTGGATTACTCCGCCCCGCAAATGTTTTCCTATTGAATTATCACTTCTCATGCTATTTTAGAATAAGGTAACTTGAACCAGAGTAATTTTATGAGGAACTCTACACTAATCTTTTATCAGTCTAAATTAGCACTGATATTACAGAAGAAACATCACACTGGCTTACCTTATGGAAAAATGTAGTTCTTATGTAATCTAAGTGACCGGTCAGATTAAATAAGCACTTTCGTTGCTTGTAGTTCCATACTTTGATTTTGTAGTCATCACCACCAGAGACAAACAATGGTTGGTTGGCATGAAAATCAATGCCACGGACAGGTCCCTCATGCCCTTCAAACTTCTCAATTAGTGTACAACTGCGATAATCCCATAACTGTATAATCCCAGTATGAAGGCTGCTTAGAATCCATGGTCTTTTAGGATGGAAAGCTAATCCTGAAATTCAAATATTAGTTATTTCACATTAAAGTTGCACAAAGTACTTAACAAAAAATTTTCGGACATACAGTTAGGATCAACAAGATGATACACGGTGAATATGCCATCATGTTTAACTTGTGGACTAATGTAGGTGCCGACTAAAAATAACTGTGACTGCTTCATGAAGCCTAGCCACATAGGTCCACTTGTGAAACCCAAATAGATAACTGATGTGACTGAGACCTAATCCAGAGGACAAACGAAATTCATAATCATCTTAATTATGGAATTATTGAAGTGAATACATGTCTCTGACATGTCCTAGTCTTATATCTCGTGTTAAGTTGTATATGGTAATACCGAGATTAGGTGCAGTGTTAGGTAAGGAGGTAAGTCGATTGATGAAGTTGTGAAACCGTTTCGCCTGAGATAGCTAGCACACCATGCGCACTGAAATCCACCACCTTCCTCGTTGAGTAATGTTAGGTGATATAAGAATAAGTTGGAAAAGAGTTAAGAGTGGTCATTCCACTAAGTCTTTCAGTCGTATCGGGAGTTATCGACTAACTGGCTGGTACCCAGTAAGTACCAATGGGTATAGACTTTTGGTAAAATGGCTAAAATTAGTTCTCAATGATGCAAATACATCCACCGTTTATGAATTTCTTGGTCCAAATTCTCATTTCTCATATACTTGTTTACCCCCCCACCACCACCACGTACATCTATTCATTTTTTCCCTATTTTTGAGTATCGTAGCTTGTACCGTGTCACTTTGGCGCATGGTCCATTGGTTAAAACATTGAAAACAACGTATCAGGAAAATTGGAATCGCAATCTGCCGTCTATCTGTCTGTCTGTTTTCGACATAGAACTTTGCACAAATGTGCGGAAGTTCAAGTCGCCACATTCCGTGTAGCACGCGAAGCAAGAGAAGAAAGTACAAGAAAAGCATAATAGAAACAGTGAGCAGAGGTGTGAGACAAAGGAGTAATAAAGAAATACAAAACAGTTTCATTGAAGATCATAAGTCACAGGGAGTGGATGCATCTGCGCCACTGAGAACGATTTTGAGCCATGTCACCAATTGTTTCCAACCATAGATTTTTACCGTCCCGAGGACCCCAGCCTGGAAGTCTACACCTTTCTACGTGGCTTAGACCAACTGTTGTGGATTTCATTGACTGATGCCAAGTTTTTGTTTGACCGCCGCTAGCTTTTTTCCAGCCTGACCCTATATCCGCTAACATTGCTCGTCGAGGGAGGCGATGGCTTGGCATACGTAACACATGTCCTAACCATCTCAGTCTTTGTAGCTTCACGACTTCGTCGATTGATTTCCCCTGTTTACCTAGAACTCTACGCCTAACCTCCATGTTGCTCACCTTATTATGCCACTTTACACGGGAAATAGAACGCAGGCACCTATGATCAAAGACAGCTAGTCTTTTCATGTCTTCCACTCTCAGTGGCCAGGTCTCACAACCATAAAGGAGGACGGAGCGGACTGATGAGCAGTACACCCGCCCTTTGGTCGATAGTCGAACATCTCGTCTACGCCAGAGTCGGCGTAAACTAACAAATGCGAAACGAGCCCCTTGTATTCGTGCTGAGATTTCGTCAGAGATCAGCCCGTTGGGGCTGATGGTACTTCCCAAATAAGTGAAGCGGTCAACGTGCTCTACCACTTCACTTCCTATTTTTAAACTAGGCGTCGATGTAGTCCAGTCCTGTAACATCATCTTGCATTTGGCGGGAGCGAATCGCATGCCAAACATTCGTAGATTGCGGCTCAAGGTGTTTAGAAGACTCTGCATTTCGTCAGCGTCTTCGCCTAGAAGGACTATATCGTCTGCATATTCCAAGTCAACGAGATTATTCCCCGGTAGCAAGTCAATCCCTGAGTCGCTGAAGTCACCTAGGGTTAAGTCCATTAACACATCTATGATGAAGTTGAATAGAAAAGGAGATAATGGGCATCCTTGACGGACACCACTGGTCGTCATCAGTTCAGATGACAGCTCGCCGTAAGCCCTCACCTGGCTGTATGAGTACGAATAGAGTGCCTTAATCAGTGCAATATATTTTCTCGGAATTCCCTTTACAGCCAAGCATCTCCAGAGAACTTCCCGATCGACAGAGTCGAATGCTGCCTTTAGGTCAAGAAATATAATGACTGTTGGACGCCGGTAGGAATGCCTATGTTCTAGAATCTGTCGGAGGGTGAAGATATGATCAATACACCCTCTTCCTGGTCTAAAGCCTGCCTGGCTCTCTCGTGTTTGTGCTTCCCGAGCACCACTCAGTCTACGCATGATTATTGAGCCTAAGACTTTAGATACTATATTAGTCAAGCTAATCCCTCTGTGATTATCACAGGAAGACTTGTCTCCCTTCTTGTATATGGGGATAATCAGTGACTTACACCAACCCGATGGGACTTCTTCTGATTCCCAGACGCTGCCTAGTACCTCAGTTAATCCGGACAGTAAGCTGTCTCCACCGTACTTAAATACCTCTGGCGTCATTCCATCAGGTCCCGCTGCTTTGCCTAGTTTCAGATTGGTGACAGCTTTAGTAACCTCAGTTAGTGACGGAGGACCTGTGTCTATATCCCATTCAGGGAGGTGTTGGATGCTCGGAAGGTTGAGCGTGGCTGTGGGCAAATTAAACTGCTCCTCATAATGCTCTTTCCAACGATCCAGTCGTCTATCCTGTGAGCTAATTATAGTGCCATTTTTTTCCGAGATTGTCTCACTAATGATTTGTCTTCTCCCACCCGTTTCCCTGATGAGTCCAAAGAGTTGCCTGGTGTTGCCTATCCTCGAAGCTTTCTCCATCTCTTTGGCTTTTGTCGCCCACCACTGTTCACGGTCCTTGCGGAGACTTTTCGTAAGTTTCCTCTTGTGCAGCTTTCGCTCCTCATTGAATTCGGAGCTCGCCGGAATAAGTCTTCTAGCATCTATCAGTTCGGATGAGGCGGTGGAGATCCAGTGGTTTTTACTCACCTTTGGGTTTACCTTATTCACAGCTTTTACAGCTGTATCTATGGCTGCCTGGATCGCAATCTGCTAAAAAACAGGAAATGTAAGAGGTAATACTGACGCAGCCGAACACCCTTCAAGCACCTACAATATTCCCCGGATCAACTGAGAGTTTGAGAAGTAGCGTACATAGTAATGGTCAAGTCTAAAGTGCCACCAGAAATTTTCCAAAAGCGACCTGCTATTTGTCCACCTCATAAATGTTTACCCTGAATATACCTTATACACCATGCGAATTGACACACATCAAGGCAAAGTCAAACTATGGAGGTCAACTGATGTCAACGCACCAGTGACCTGGAGCCGATCACTATAAAAATAGTGATTTTTGCACAAAAATTACGTTTATTCACAAGAAAATATATGGAAACACATTAAACGGGGTATCTTTCTCTGACGTGATTCAATACGTGCCAGTTAAAATGAGTATCAGTTTTTAAGCTAGACCAGTCTGTGTACATGTATTAACTGAGGTGACTAAAGGTGCACCTTTTCTGTGATACGTTTATCGCTCTTATCCTGTTTTGCTGTCCTTCCCAAAAGACCTCGGTTGACTGAGTAGTTTCAATATAGAACTTTGCACCGATGTGCAGCAGTTCCAGTCGCCACACTCCATGTGGTACACAAAGCAACCACAGTAAGTAAAAAGAAACACAAAACACAGACAGTAAACCGAGATATGAAGGAAAAACAATAGTAATATCAAAGAGCAATATACTTTTATTGGAAATTACAAGTCACAAGGAGTGGATTCATCTGTGCCAGCCATTGAGAACGTTTTTGAGCCATATCACCAATTGTCTCCAGCCATCGGTTCCTACCGTCTCGAGGACCTCAACCAGGAAGTCTACATCTCCCGACGTGGCCTAAACTAACTGTGGATTTCATTGACTGATGAGGCCGTGTTTTGGTTTGACCACCAATGGCTCTTTTCTGACCCGACCGTATGTAAGCTAACATCGCCCGTCGAGGAAGGCGATGACTAAGCATGCGTAACACATGTCCTAACCATCTCAATCGATGTAACTTCACAGCCTCGTCGACTGATTTCTCCCCTTACCTAGCACTCGATCAAAGTCTTATCTCAATATTGCTCACCCTATTATGCCATTTCACACCCTGATCCTAACCCTAACGAGCTATTAACACACTGTCCAAACAGTAATCAGAAACGTGACCTGGATGAAATTTGCTCCTTATTTGGCGAATAGCCTTCATATTTGCGTTGTAATAATGACAGTTGTCCTTAGCGAAAGACTACCATGCGTCCACAAACTCGAGCGTTCGCACACCTAGGACCCTATAGTTTATCTTTAACTCCGTCTACATCAACAGCTGATAATTTACCTCTAATATTGGCTACCAGTGAACCTTTCAGCAAGTCTTCCAGACCATTACAAAGACTTACTTCCTATAGCCACCTAGTAAACAAGTGTTTGTACCTGATGTTGTAATAATAACAAAAGTAAAATAATAAATAAATAAAACAATTAGATGCTAGGTTTTACTACATTTTACTTTAGATTTGTTATGTAGGTCAGACAACCACGTGTAACTGTTAGGACCTATATGTACCTAAGTACTCTTCAATAAAACATCAAAACGACTTGAATGAACAGGGACTAATTCTCAGGTCTCACAAACCATTAAAAAATTATTACCTTTCACCCTAGCAGATTTACAGTCAAATTTCGACAAGTACGACATTTGCCAAGTTGGAAGACGTCAAACTACCGGCTTCAACTTTAGTGTACACAAACAAACCGACTAAATGTTCAATTTCAAAAGGATTCCATATAATTTTACAATAAAGTAACAGGTTTGTGTACTTTAAAATAATTTGCATTTAGAGCCATTGACTGCTAGAGCTCTGTGTTTGGTGATATATGAAAAGCACATATTACTGAATTTCTTCTTTTTAAATACATTATTTCATTTCTTGACCGAAATTCCTTGATTAATTCATTGAACCTGTACTCAGGCTATCGTCTCACATGCATTCATGGTTTAAATAATCTAAATGTCTGTGAAACATGTCGTTCTTAAACATCCAGCCTCCTTCCAATAGTCACCTACAGTCACTTTTTTCTTGTGAAGGAATTCATAAATAGAGGAGTGACTGATCAAGCTTCCAAGGGGATGTAAAAAAATTATTCCAAATCGGCATATTATAAAACCTCAGAAGATATCAACAATTCTAATCAGAAGAAATAAGACTAATGGAAGTTCACTGCATCCGCGAAGTATTTGGTGGAAAAGGATAAGAGGAATCCTGAAGGAAGTATCAAGTACCGGTGAGTCGAAAGCTAAATACACAACCTTATCTGCAGAAGGCACAGAAACCGACGGCTATTGTGATGCAACAAAGCACGTGATCCTACTGAATATTCGAGAAAACGTAACATAATTACCAGTGAACTTAGAGAAAGACGTAGACAACCAAATTCCAAAAGTAGTGGTTGAGGGGATTATCGAAGGGCCCGACAGTCCGAGCAGTTTTCCTACAGTTTGTCGGTAGAGTCTTTTCCGGAGATGCTGTCTAGTAAGTGAGTGAAAGCCTCGCAACTGAACCATCCAACTCAGAGAAAACAGCTACACCACAAATCAAATTGCTTGACTTCTAAGTTCATTGCAACCCTTCCCTAATTGGAAGTAGACGTGCATATGCGATCATTATTTAAAGCTGAAAGTAACTTTTCAGCCAGACAATACAGATAACCAGTATCTAGACCTTCAGTTAATATGCTACCTGCTGGTCTCAAAGCAGGATTCCTTACCACCACTGGATAATCATTTCATTTATGTTTATAACACTTCTGCACTACTGTGCACGCAAAACTAACTATATTGTGCGTCGGTCGCACAGTGGTTAGGACTCTCGCCGACCATGCACATGGTCCGAGGTTCGACACCTTGCCGACGCACATCTGATATCTATGGTCGGCCTGCAAAATTTGGGCTATCGACATCACATGGTGAAAATTCCATACTTGTACCAAAAATACAGTGTAGAATCAAGCTGTAATCAAAAATGAAAATAAAAGGTCAGCATAAATTAGAACAATACTTCCGATCGTTCACTTCAGTCTTCTGCCAAACAGCGCAAGACTGTGCCACAGCCGCCGTTGTCGTCTTCCATCACACTACAGCCAGCTCACCAACGACGACGGAAAGTCTTTCATTTAGACAAAACCACAAATACCCCTTTCATGAACTGAAACCCTGAATTTTCGGGGTTGGCTAACCTCTTGGATTAATGGATTTCATTAACGTCCCCTTCTAGCAGAAAATTGCCTGTCAATGTAATTGAAGATTGAACGATCAATTCATGGTTATTTGCTCAAAACCAACTTCCCCAATTTTCGCGGAGGCATCAATACGACAGTCATCGTCTCATCGGTCGCTGTTCAGAAAGAAGTCAGCAGAAAACCGTCAGAAGTAATATTGTGATTTATTATTGTAATATTTGTTCATAGACCTTAGTTGTAAAGTTGGCTATATGTTGGTGTTAGAATAAATAATTCTCAAGTCGCCAAACGGGGTTCTGGTTTTCTCGTCCGTTTGTACTAAGCGTTTCTGAGAAGCTTCGAGGAACAGCGTGAGTCCCAGCGTAGCAAGAGCTGGGCATTAACGGTTTACGAGACGTGACTAACATTACCTTTTCAGCAATTCACATGTCGTCTGAGTGTTAGCAAGAATTGATCAGGCTGACTCATACTTAACGGTCTCAATTTTAAGGGGGTGACATCGGTTGCTGGCGATAAACGCAATGTAACAGGCTCCACGCAAATAACTTCAGATGATACAGACTTGTAGCCTTCCCCCAAACTCAAAACAAACCAAACTGTTCCAAATAGAATTATATTGATAACCGAGTGTTGAAGAGCTGCAATATTGTTGTTCTATTAAACGGAATGCACAAACCTTTAAATATGAGGTCATCCGGCTATAAAACACAAAGAGTACAAGAAGTGAACCCTAAATTAGTTCTCAACTAACAAAATGTCAATTCAGACACGAAGTGTACAGCAGTCCAAGGAAGCTCAAACGATATAATTTACATAAAAAATACAAAATTATATTTAAAGTTAAACTGGTGTTTAAAGGTAGAAATATTAGACGTAAGACTCCCAACCGAAAAAGCGTTCGCTTCGTATCCAAACAATCAATTATTAATATTTACAATAATATCCATTGATCCAGGTAAATAATTGCACAACATTCTCACAAACTAGACAAGCCCTCATACCGCTGGCCTCCAGGGGACACACCTTCCTGATATCACCTACAGTACCCCATCAGTCTTCGACAACACTTGTCTAACTAAGCCATGTTTATATGAAAACACCCGTCTCAGAAGACCGAGTGACCGATGACTTCTTCCCGGACAGTCTGATACTATAAAAAATTAGTCTTCGACCTGCACAGTCCTGCTCATGTGCATCGATTTGTGTCATTTTTTGTGAAAAAAAGAATAAATTTTTAAGATATCTGTACGTCGGTGGCACAGCGGTTAGGACACTCACTGGCCATGCACATGGTCCGGGGTTCGATACCCTGCCGACGCACACCTGATATCAATAGTCGGCCTGCAAAATTTGCGCTACTGATACAACATGCTGAAAATTCCATACTTCTACCAAAAATACATTGTGAAATCAGGCTACAATCGAAAAGATAAATAGTTGGATTGTCTCCACTTTCTGGAGAAACTGTCACCAAGTTGAGTTACAATGATACTTAGCTAGTTGTACCTCCATAATAGTAGCCCACCGGATGTCTTCTGTCAATGTAGTAGAAGAATGAACGATCAATTCACAGTTGTTTGCTCAAAACCAACGCCATATTTTAGTGGGAGTCATTGATTCTGCAGTCACCGTTCCATCGTACGCTGTTCGTTAGAAGACGGAGAAATACTATCAGAAGTATTATTGTGATTAGTTGTTATGACATGTATTCTTGGACTTTGTGTATAACAACCTTGTGGTTAGTTCCATATTGGTGCAAGAATAAAGGATTCTCGAGTCACCAGTCTGTGTTCTGGTTTTTCGAGTTAGTTTTTGCGCATAGTTCCTGAATGTCTTCTAAGGACGGTGTGGAGCTCAGTGTAGTCAGACCTAGACATTGACAGTTTCTGATATCTCAGGGAATTATTCACCGTTGGGTAGTTGGAGATAATCGGCAGGAAGCCTAGTACCTAGTTTTCGTACTAGTTAGCACTCGTCAGCAAGGCGTATCTGCATTTAATAATACTATGATATAATAATAATGTGCACCGTGATGGCGAGTCAGGCAGAATGTTGGCCACATTGCAAATCTGGCTGATAGAATTCAGTCCGCACCAAATAAAGGACTAGACACGCCACACTAGTTACTAGCGTCCATTCAAAATTATTCGCCGTATTTGTTAGCGATTCGTTTTTTCTTGTGCCTGCAAGCTTTCTTCGGACTTTCTTTGGAACTTTCCTGGATCATCTGGTAACGTTCAATAAGGCCTGGGTCAAAGAAAGGACGAAGCGTTTTGGAAGCAGACCGAAAAGTAAGTAATGGTGAGTTACCTGTTATTTGTAATGATGTGTATAATGCTCAGCGTGATAAGATGGACGTTCATGTTTCACCGTCTAGTGGTAGTAAGGGTTTAAAACTTCCAAAATTTGAGCCTTGGTATCTTGACGGAAACCCAGCTGGCTATCCACAGTTTATAAAGGAGTCTGAAGTCATGTTGAGTGGTTTTGTAACAAATGACGAAATGAAGTTGATATATTTTTTGAGATATTGCACTGGAGCTGCTTCAAGAGCTATTCAGTGCTGTAAGGTCATGCCCCAAAACGAAGGATAAACTGAGGCCATGAGGATATTACGTCAAAAGTTTGGAAAATCACTTATGAAATCCAGAATTGTTAGACCGTTAAAGGTAATGGTGCTGAGTTAGGTGATAACTCCGAGGAACTCGTAGAGTTTTTGGATAATTTAATGGTGTATAGAAACATTCTCGTATCTCTTAATTGTGTGGATGAATTGAACTCGAGTTGTGTGCCTAATGCAATCGCTAAGAGATTACCCCATCGCTTACAAAGAAAGTTCATAAAAATTAGCTTCCGTTTAGAAGAGGATGGTATAGAGTCCGGGTTATGTGATATTGTGAGACCGGTAAAAGACAGCGTCAATCAAGCGACGGGCAAGTCTGCAAACATTTTGCATCCAACATTAAAACTTTACGAATCAGTGAGTATTACGAAGTCATTTGTAGTGAAGCCACAAGGCACGACGAGAAGGGAAGAGTGTATCATTTGCCGTAACGCGCACCAACTTAATGAATGTAATCGTTTCATTGCAGTGTCTCTTGTAGCAAGGTTGAGAAAGGCAAAGCAGATGCGGTCGTGTTCTAAGGTGGGACACACAAAGTTGAACTGTAAGGCAATAGAGAAACAAAGTAACGGATCAAAAGATCTGCATCCACTTTTAAAGATAGTAAACAAACCGGCGAATTCCGTTAACTGTAACAGCATATTTAGACCCAATGACAACGAACGAGTTTATTTATGGGCATGTCAGCCAACTCACAGAAACTGTCATTGTCTAGTTCTTACTACGCTGGACCCCACGCTGTCCCTCGAAGACTTTCAGAAACAAATTGCAATAACCAAAGCGAAAAACCAGAACACAGTTTGGCGTCTCAAGAATCCTTTTTTCTTACGCCAATATGTAACCAACAATAAGGCTATTA